TCAGACATAAAATATTATGGTCACATATCTAAAACTACTTAATTTTGGGTCCGCCTGAGCGCAACCAATAATAAAAATATTTCAAAATTTGATGTAACATGGATATCTCTGGTTTTCAGTTCGCCTGCCTAGAACCAAAGTTTGGTTTTCCAAAAAGGAGCTTTAACATAATATTTCCTTTATCGGCACCCGGAAGAGTCTTACGTGCAGAAGGCAAAATCTGTAGGTAATAACTTCGTCATAGAGAAACTGGTTTAGATCATAGATCGAATATTTTAGTATAATATTTACGGCAACAAAACAATACACAACGGCTATCCATTTTAACAGGATCAGCTGCAAAAGTTTTCAATGCTCCATTCGCTCTTAACAGCTGAGGCAGAGTTAAGCCTTCCCTTTATTGGAAAGATCAGAGGATGCATAACCTGCTTCTGCGTTTGTGGTGTCTTTGCCAATGAAGAAGAAATATTTAAAATAGAATCCTGTATTCACGATAGCACCCTCTAAATAAAATCAGATAGAGAGATGAAAACTTTTGCGCATTTATAAAAAAAACCATGTATCCATAATGCTGGCGCCTTACATTATGAATGAACGAAAGCCCCAACACTGTTCGCAACTTCCATAGAGCTCGCTGACTGTATATCGCGCTCTCCCACTGACGCGCACTCGCTAAGACAATACACTCGCTCGCTACCATTTAGCCTCGCCTCACTTTTGATCGTTGCCATTGTTAGACGCTGATGTTGTTGCTTCCCTACATGCACACACACACACACACACACACACACACAAAGGCACAACAGCAAAGCCTGCCTTGAATTTCTTTAGTTCATTGTTTGTTTTCCTCTCTCTGGCAGCCGTTGCCTAGGCTTTAATATCAAACCGGTTACAGTGGCAGCCACCCGGTTTCAAACACGCTTATGGGTAGTTTTGGTTGGCGCGCAACAACAAACACATTGACCTATCAATAATGCCCGCCTCCTGCCGCATACATAGGTATCTATATGTAATCAAACACAAGCGCGCTTTGACGGTGTGTGTTTGTAAATGTTATTGTTGTTTGGATGTGTGTGAGCGCTGAGTGTGGTTTCTTTACCACCACCAAAGCGCAACGTTAGTTTAGCAACAACAATGGAAAGCGCGTAGATATATTAACAAATACATGCATTGAATTCAATCCAATCGCGTTGCGGCAATTCGCTAACGCGCTGTGTTGTTATTGTAAGTTTTTCGGTTTTGTATAATTTTACTGGTGATTTGTTGTTGTTTTATGAATACAATTTTATTTAGTGCTTCAAATGTGTGTGCGGGTTATTTTTTTCTCATCAACACTGCGCGCGGAAACCAGTTCCGGAGTGTGGCGTTGATCGCGCGCGCGTTTTTATTTGCTTTGTTTTCATTGCAACGCGACCGACCCAACGCGGCAGCAAACGTTAATTTATGCTCGCGCGCTCTTTTAGTTGTCTACCGTGTGTCGTACGGCCTGATCGCCAGTAGTGTTTGCGGCGCGAGTAACTCGAATCCAATGCAACCAGCGTGCGTCCGTATGTGCCTATTCGTTGGCGTAGTTTTTCTTGTGCAACGGCAAAGCGGCGAAACGGACGAATAATACGAGCGCGCTTGCTGAGTGCATACAAAGTAGCGACTTTCCGTCGGTTTGTTCTTAGTGCTTTGAGTGCGAAATTCGTAGGCGTTCATTCACAGCCATTTTTTATAAGCGATTTTGGTGAAACGTATTTGCAATAAAGGAATAAAGGGTGCGTACTTCTCGTTGGCGCCTTTTGAACGCCTTCGCCCTCACGCCAGTAACCAACGGGTTGTCGACGCGGATTTGAAAGTTCTTGGGCTCGATTGACACAAATCAATATCGGATTTATTGATCTCGGATTTATATGGAAAACTAGCAAATTAAACGATCTTTTGTTAAAGCTTGGTTATATTAAAAAGTGATAAGCAAAACTGAAAATGGAAAAGTTAGAACGCAATTTCGGCATAAGTTCTGAAAAATATGTTTAAAAACAAATAAACAAATAAATAAACACTGTGCAATAAAGAAATTCATAAAAATTGTTTATTTTTTCCGGTATAAAAAATTTTAAACATAAATTTAAACATGGTTTTTAACAAGAAAAAAAATTATTAAAAATATAAATAAAAATTATTTTCATCAAAAAATATTAACAAAAAATATACAACAAATTTTAAAAAAATAAAATCATTAAAGTTTTTATCAATAAATTAAAAAACTTATTTTTCATACAAAATTTCTTTCAAAATGGATATGACCAGCGCAAATTCGCTTAATATGCGTCCATTCTTCTCTGGATATCCATTTCAAGGTAAATAATTTAGTAAATTTTTTCATATAAAAAGGAAAACATCACGTACAGTTTGTTTACCTGCTTAAGCTCAATCACAGTTAAACCAGCTCTACCAAATCCGTGTGGGCGTGTCTCTTTAGCCATTGTGCGCTTCGTTAAANATATATAACAAATTTTAAAAAAATAAAATCATTAAAGTTTTTATCAATAAATTAAAAAACTTATTTTTCATACAAAATCTCTTTCAAAATGGATATGACCAGCGCGAATTCGCTTAATATGCGTCCATTTTTCTCTGGATATCCATTTCAAGGTAAATAATTTAGTAAATTTTTTCATATAAAAAGGAAAACATCACCACTCAGAGATGATCTTTGGAGCTTTAATTTGTTAGAGCTTTTACTGGAGCCTAAGAAAGCTTGTCAGAATTCTTACTCTGTGTGGATTAGCTCTTTTTCGGAACATATATCTGAAACAAACGAGCTTTTTCTAAAAGCTTCTTAGCTCTTCGGTGCAAAAATCTTCAAATCGTTTTATGGTTTAATAGGCATTTGAGTAAAAGCTCGATAAATTATATGCTAAAATTCTGCCTTTCTTAAGGCATTTTCTTCAAGCATTTCCAAGCCAAGCTCAGCATACTCCGTGTTTGTTCTATAAGGAGTTGTCTTCAAGGATCACATACCTAACGAGTAGCCCAGAATTCATATTATTTAAAAGCAAGTGCTTCAGGTACTCACAATATGTGCTTTGATGTTTCTACCTCTTTCCTGTATATCCTGCATTTGCTGTCCTCAACCAGCCCTACTTAAAAAGTCTGCGACGCCTTCACACTATGGTTTACTAACAGTCGTGCCATCAACCTGGAGTCTATTTTTTCGTTCTCAAAGCCTGTATGCCCGGCAATACAAACGCGTTCTTGAACATATTATGCTTCCCTTAAAAAGATTGGTTGGCCCAAACGGCGAATAACTCTGGCGCCTTACATTATGAATCAACGAAAGCCCCAACACTGTTCGCAACTTCCATAGAGCTCGCTGACTGTATATCGCGCTCTCCCACTGACGCGCACTCGCTAAGACAATACACTCGCTCGCTACCATTTAGCCTCGCCTCACTTTTGATCGTTGCCATTGTTAGACGCTGATGTTGTTGCTTCCCTACATGCACACACACACACACACACACACACACAAAGGCACAACAGCAAAGCCTGCCTTGAATTTCTTTAGTTCATTGTTTGTTTTCCTCTCTCTGGCAGCCGTTGCCTAGGCTTTAATATCAAACCGGTTACAGTGGCAGCCACCCGGTTTCAAACACGCTTATGGGTAGTTTTGGTTGGCGCGCAACAACAAACACATTGACCTATCAATAATGCCCGCCTCCTGCCGCATACATAGGTATCTATATGTAATCAAACACAAGCGCGCTTTGACGGTGTGTGTTTGTAAATGTTATTGTTGTTTGGATGTGTGTGAGCGCTGAGTGTGGTTTCTTTACCACCACCAAAGCGCAACGTTAGTTTAGCAACAACAATGGAAAGCGCGTAGATATATTAACAAATACATGCATTGAATTCAATCCAATCGCGTTGCGGCAATTCGCTAACGCGCTGTGTTGTTATTGTAAGTTTTTCGGTTTTGTATAATTTTACTGGTGATTTGTTGTTGTTTTATGAATACAATTTTATTTAGTGCTTCAAATGTGTGTGCGGGTTATTTTTTTCTCATCAACACTGCGCGCGGAAACCAGTTCCGGAGTGTGGCGTTGATCGCGCGCGCGTTTTTATTTGCTTTGTTTTCATTGCAACGCGACCGACCCAACGCGGCAGCAAACGTTAATTTATGCTCGCGCGCTCTTTTAGTTGTCTACCGTGTGTCGTACGGCCTGATCGCCAGTAGTGTTTGCGGCGCGAGTAACTCGAATCCAATGCAACCAGCGTGCGTCCGTATGTGCCTATTCGTTGGCGTAGTTTTTCTTGTGCAACGGCAAAGCGGCGAAACGGACGAATAATACGAGCGCGCTTGCTGAGTGCATACAAAGTAGCGACTTTCCGTCGGTTTGTTCTTAGTGCTTTGAGTGCGAAATTCGTAGGCGTTCATTCACAGCCATTTTTTATAAGCGATTTTGGTGAAACGTATTTGCAATAAAGGAATAAAGGGTGCGTACTTCTCGTTGGCGCCTTTTGAACGCCTTCGCCCTCACGCCAGTAACCAACGGGTTGTCGACGCGGATTTGAAAGTTCTTGGGCTCGATTGACACAAATCAATATCGGATTTATTGATCTCGGATTTATATGGAAAATTAGCAAATTAAACGATCTTTTGTTAAAGCTTGGTTATATTAAAAAGTGATAAGCAAAACTGAAAATGGCAAAGTTAGAACGCAATTTCGGCATAAGTTCTGAAAAATATGTTTAAAAACAAATAAACAAATAAATAAACACTGTGCAATAAAGAAATTCATAAAAATTGTTTATTTTTTCCGGTATAAAAAATTTTAAACATAAATTTAAACATGGTTTTTAACAAGAAAAAAAATTATTAAAAATATAAATAAAAATTATTTTCATCAAAAAATATTAACAAAAAATATACAACAAATTTTAAAAAAATAAAATCATTAAAGTTTTTATCAATAAATTAAAAAACTTATTTTTCATACAAAATTTCTTTCAAAATGGATATGACCAGCGCAAATTCGCTTAATATGCGTCCATTCTTCTCTGGATATCCATTTCAAGGTAAATAATTTAGTAAATTTTTTCATATAAAAAGGAAAACATCACCACTCAGAGATGATCTTTGCAGCTTTAATTTGTTAAAGCTTTTACTGGAGCCTAAGAAAGCTTATCAGAATTCTTACTCTGTATGGATTAGTTATTTTTTCGGAACATATATCTGAAACAAACGAGCTTTTTCTAAAAGCTTCTTAGCTCTTCGGTGCAAAAATCTTCAAATCGTTTTATGGTTTAATAGGCATTTGAGTAAAAGCTCGATAAATTATATGCTAAAATTCTGCCTTTCTTAAGGCATTTTCTTCAAGCATTTCCAAGCCAAGCTCAGCATACTCCGTGTTTGTTCTATAAGGAGTTGTCTTCAAGGATCACATACCTAACGAGTAGCCCAGAATTCATATTATTTAAAAGCAAGTGCTTCAGGTACTCACAATATGTGCTTTGATGTTTCTACCTCTTTCCTGTATATCCTGCATTTGCTGTCCTCAACCAGCCCTACTTAAAAAGTCTGCGACGCCTTCACACTATGGTTTACTAACAGTTGTCCCATCAACCTGGAGTATATTTTTTCATTCTCAAAGCCTGTATTCCCGGCAATACAAACGCGTTCTTGAACATATTATGCTTCCCTTAAAAAGATTGGTTGGCCCAAACGGCGATATCCTGCTCAAAGAGTACTCCTTGTTTAACCCATTCATCGGCTTCCCCATAACCTTCGAAGCCCCTATGCTTTGGTATCCAGTACATATGAACTTTCCTTCCTACATCTGATTTTGTGTTGGCTGCGTGCAAGCTTCTTAAGGCATTTCGGACGTACATAGATAAATATTCTCTGTTATCTGGGCCTACCTCTTGCTGTAGCTTATGTTAGGTTGAGGTGGTTAACGCTCTATGGGATCGATTACACTTAGTCCTGACTAAGACCCATTGTGATGCTATAAAAACTTGACGCCCACCTTTTTAAGGAGTATAGAACTTTTTAATTTTCATAACCACATTTTGTCCCGTTGTCTGGTTTGTTCGTATGTAAATTCTTTATGGAATAGCTCCCAAGTGGTAAAGGAAGACCAATGTGTTAATTACTAAGATTAATCTACTTGGGCAGATTCCGTCTGCCTTCCAATCAGTTTCCCTCGATGCCCTTGTGACTAGACACTCACATGAGGGACAGTCTGTTCTGTTTGGCCACCTCCTGTGGAGACCTGAACAATTTTTGATTTTAGTGTAAGCGAGCCCAGTGTACTGCTATTGTTGTCTGACTGACGTTTAAAGTAAATACATCTTTAAAGCTGCCTTCAAAAGACCAGATATATCGGCCTAAAAAAAGCTATACTCGGAGCTTGGACCGCATCACTCTGTATCGCTTGGTACGAAATCAACTGCAGCTTTGCTCTCATTTTTATTGAAATTATCTCGGCTTGGCAGTGGGTTCGTAGCTTAAATGACCATCTCAACTTTAGTTGGGTGCAGTAAGCTGAAACTTCCACTCGTCCGTTCATTTTGGAAGCATCTCTAAGATGATTCCCAGCCTTGTCTGCAACCCCGAGACCTTCGCTTCATCCGCCCCCTTTGTATGGAGAAAGTCAACTGCAAGATAACGTAGTCTATACGTATCCTTGGAGAAAAAGCTATACTTCTGTGCCCTGCTTTGTTCTAACTGTCGGCTGATTAAAGGCGTGTAGTCTCGTGGAAGTTATGAATGTCCTGTTTTCTTCCTCCTCCGGCGATCGATCTTTACCGATCATCCGTAGTCCGAAGACTCTGTCTACCCGTTTTAGATAAATTTATTTTTTTGTAGCTCTATATAACTCCATAGAAAAGCATTAGATCGACCCTCATTACTAAAATCCAATGTTAGAGCGATGGTCAAAGGCCACAAGTGTAGTCCAACATTTTTGAGAATTTACATAAGCTTAGCTGATGCCTTCTTAACTCGCTCCTCTCTGCGAAATGGTGTTGGTTTTCCAAGTTCTAAGTACATACTTAACTTCAGATCTAAAGTAATTTGTTCTAGCTTTGTTCAAAAGCATTTCCTTGGAAATGGGACTAGGTCCCTTCAATCAGTGTTGACACGAAGTTCCACTGAGTCAGCACAGCTGTTAATTGTTTTAAGAGTCTGACTCACAAGGGAGCTAATAGTTGAGAGTCTTGTCATCTGTAAATGCTCTGATCAAGGCTATTTCTCGGTAGAGTACTAGGATTTCAGGTTTAGGTCTATCGTCCTTCCCAAGGTTTCCCAAGTCTTGCTGTTTAGTAAGAAAGATGATCCTTTGAACTCTCCAAATATCTCACGTCATCTTCTCTCAACCTGGTCCACACTTAATCTGGAGGCTGCCAGCTATATATCTTAAGCTCTTTATCTTCATATGGCTCAGGAATACTGCTAGACTAAGGAATGTTAGATAGAAAAGTTGAAAGCTGGAATACCAGATAATAGTTTCAGATCTGCAACTAAACTCTAACTTCTATATTGGGTTTTCACTGAGGACCCTAAATTAAAAAATGGAATTTAATCGACAATTCTTCTCCTCTCTTACAGGTCAGGGTCGTGTCAATCAACTCGGTGGCGTTTTCATCAACGGTCGCCCATTACCGAATCATATACGTTTGAAAATTGTCGAAATGGCCGCTAACGGTATAAGACCTTGTGTGATCTCACGTCAATTGCGCGTTTCGCACGGCTGTGTTTCGAAAATTTTAAATCGTTATCAAGAAACTGGTTCCATACGACCGGGTGTTATTGGCGGCTCCAAGCCGAAGGTGACATCACCCGAAATCGAAGCGCGCATAGAGGAGTTGCGTAAGGCCAATCCGGGTATATTCAGTTGGGAGATACGAGAGAAGCTGATAAAGGTGAGTGGAGGATTTGTGTGCAAAATATTATTTTTAGATGACAGGACTTTCAGAAGGTCGTGGGCTCGAACTCTGGTGAAACCAAAATGAAAATTTATGGGATATTATTTTAAATAATAGTTTTTTCGCTATATTCGATTGCCCCTCGGCGGGGAATGTGAAATCGGCGGCCGAAAATCGCTTCCGTGGGTACAAAGTACCAAATATATATACTTGTGATCTAGGTCAGGCCACCAGACTTGTCTCACAAAAACCAATCTTCAAAGTAGTGAAGCCACCGTTTTCTGAAACCAGCATAATCTTCCCGAAGAACGCCATAATGAGCTGAAAGTCTAAATCATGCCTCTATTCATAATTCTCGAACAACGACTTCTGTCCTTCAGTGGCTGTGGATCTCCAGTTCTTTCGTCAAAAAATTGTGTTGGTGAAAAAACCATATTGCGACACCTTGGAGATATCAAGAACAGCATACTGTGCCAGGCTCAAGTTCCTCGTTAAACGATTTAATACGAAAATATACCCCAAAGTACTTTTAGGGGAATGTTGCTGGAATGACAGTTCTTGGCCGCATAAAAATCCGGGTCGTTGCGGTATAAAGACCCGACTGTCGCGGGAACTATTAGATTTTAGTCGCCTCTTACGACTGGCATGCCTTACCGCGGGTAAGTTCTTGAGCCTCTAACCTGCAGGGGTTTTAACCATTGCTAATCAGGTGTACTGTTTAGGCAAACCATATCTTGGCCATATAAAATGGCAGGTCCTGGGGTCTCGGTTATAAGGCTCTATGAGACACTCAAGGAAGTCAGACGCCCAATGACGCTTTGAACTTGGCTTTAGCAATCATATATCTCTTCTCCTACCCACAAAATGTTGTGACCTAGCAAAAAAAAAGGATGGATCGTCAACGGTCAGAGTCTAATTTAAACGTATTTTCAATATGAGTTCACGGATGACCTATGACCTGTTAAAGAACAGAGATCTTCTTGGCTTAACGTAAAAAAATTGTGCGTAAGACGTTTGATGCCTCACTGACGGCAGATATAAAGCAGTCACAGGGTCTCAGATGCTGTATATGAATAAAACTGGTTACCAGATTGAAGAGTTCTATCTGGCGTCAGCCATCAAACAAAGGAGAGTTTGCCAAGAAAGCTCATATTACTCTTCTTCTAACTCAAAGAGCTTTTAGCGGAACGAAGAAGCCTGGATGGTCGCTTGTTGGACTCTGATTTAAGCGCCTCCCCGATAGTATAAACCTTCAGAAGAGATGAATCTGAAAATAAAAAACTCGTGGTTTAAAGAGAATAAACTTACTTGTAAGACGCTGAAGCACCCGTCGCGGACTGGAGTAAGGAAGAAATCAGCTAAAACCATAATAAAATATAAATAATTCCCACTAACTTCGTGTGTCTGCAAAAAATTCCCATGAAAATAGAAATCTCAGAATGTTTTCCCAGCCAAAAGCTTGTGTTAAATTAATATCTACAGAAATATACTCATGTACAATACATACAGACATTTATAAGGCGCTTAAGCTCATTTTATAGCTCGCAACATTCAACGCACTCCCACGCACACAAAGCACGAAGCGTGGAGTCAAGGGAGAAAGAAAAAAATACAACGAAATTAATGTACACCCTCAAAAGGGCCATTTGCCCTCAAGGTGTCAAACGTGAAATGTATGTTTGTGTATGTGTGTGTATGATTTTTGTTCATTGAATATTGCGAAAAAGTAGACCGGAAGTGCTGGCCAAAACACAAGACATGCCTACATACATAGCGAGAACAGTACTGTAATTTCTGTTTTTTTTCGCCTTAAATGAGTGTGTGTTTGTACGTGTTTGTTTGCTTGTATGTATATTTGATTGTGTCTATATGTATATTGCCAAATACTGTTTGCACCTTGCCAACGCTGTCGTCGATGTCGTAGGACGCGTTTCGCTCCATAATCGATTTCTTAACGCTATCAATAGCTCGAGGCGACGCAGGCTCTTACCGTCACATCGATATATATATGTATGTTCATATGTATGTATATATGTACACAGGCTTATATTTGTTTACGTGCATGGTACGTGCGTTTACACTGCTTCGATCTCTTTACGCTTTTTTTGTCTCCTTTTATGCTCCTTTACGGCCAACAACATACACTTTTAACGGTCTTGTCGTACATTTTTGTCAATGAGTTTCATTTCGTTCCGTTCCTTTCGGCTTTTTTGCTGTTTCTTATGCTCTTCTTACCCTCGGACCGTCGGCAAGTTGGCAACAAGAAACGCAAATCTTCAAAAGTCTCTTCATGTCTTTGTTGTTGTGCCAGCAGCGAGAATAAAGGCAGCAGCGGGTGGTTTGTGACTGTTTTGGCATTGAGCATAGTAGGCGGTGAACTTCAAGGACAAATACGCATAGCAGCGAAGAGTGCGTCAGTTCCCTCATTGATATTACCGCATGCCACGTGACTTTTTGGAATTTCGGAAGTCGCTAGTCGCCCACGCAGTCTCCTCTGCAGTCTTTCACTCTGCCTCATTTGTTGTCACTTTATGTGGTTTCGGTGCCACCGCTGATCTTTTGTTCGTCCTTTGTTGTTTGGTCATTTGAATTTCCAGGTTTTTTGCATGTCCTTGCATATGTTTTATGGAGTAGTTGCCATTGTGGTTGTTTTTGCGATTCTTATATACATTCATATAAATATTTATCAGCTCCTCGCTAACCCCACCACATGCAGTTTCTTTATTCTGATTTGTTTTGCAAATTAACCATTTTTCCTTCATTGGCTTCTGTTGGTCACTGGAGTTTATTTGGTCTTGCAGGGATATTGATGGCATTGTGATTCGGATTTTATTGCTTCCGGCTCACCTGCGTTTTTGCAGAGATAGGAAGTGACCTTGTTGTTTATATAGGTATTTTTGAAATACCGTTTCCAAACTAAAATATTTTGCATCTGGCGGCACATTTTCAGACAAGGCGAGGAAAGGCCACGAGTCAAAGCAGTGGCACAACAAATATCGAAAGCCACCAAAATTCTTACTTCCATCCTCTAGCTCAATCGACCGACGGGCACGCCTGCAGGGTAAACGTTAAATCCAACTTACCGAAAGCCAGATATACAGTATTTCGGACTGTCTTGAAGTCGACACTGTAACGGTTGCACATTCGTCTTATACTTAAAAGCTTTGGATTGACTAATCAGCTGCTTCTATGAACTAAGTACGGCGAGGAATAAAAAGATTATTCATTTGTTTAAAACTCTAAAACTCTTGATACAGAAGAGCGAGTCGAGTTGACATCATTCTCTGCCGAGAGGCGGATTACATGACGCTCCGACACAAGGTTGTTGTTTTGCTGTTGTGAAAATAAAGTCTGGGTGGAGCCTCCCTGCTGTCTAAAAGTTCTTGTTCACTTGGAAAAGCTGTCCCAAGTGTTATAATGGACAGTAGTAGGATGGCTACGCTGTGGCACGTGAGTTCGTTTTTATTTTTGTGTTTAGAGAGGGTCTCTGTCGCCTATAATTATCAATTATTCAGGTGGGCTAACATCGAGCCAGAGATCTTTCAAATATCGCTGATTTGTAGCCTGTCTCGATCGATAGAAACCAACCTATTTTAGAAGGAATTTCCACAAAGAACATAGAAAGGATTGTAGATGTCAGAACACTGCTTTTCAAGTTAGAAAAGTCAGTTCCTTTGGCGTCGAACAGTACGAACTATACGAATAAACCTCGTAAAATGGAGGTCTTGTTATTAAAATTATCCATTGAAAGTATCAAAATATGTTCGCCCTCAAAGAAGGAAAGAAATAGCAAAGTGCCAACCTTACAACCCAATAACGAAGTCGTCTCGGCCGTATGCTTAATGTAATATCAGTAATCTCGTTGATATGATACTTCGTAATTTTAGTTAAACGAAATCAGAGCTTTCTAAGCCTATTTCCAACCATCTGTGATGTTTTATCCATCGATGAATCGGTAGTAAGACTACTCAGAGAATATCCAACGAAATAGGAACCCTTCTTTTGTCGTCTTTTTGAAGATCTGGCCTTTTCTCTGCTACCACCACAGGTCAATGTATTGAATATTGACAAAGCGGTCTGTTAGCTCTAACAACATGACCATGCCTTAGTTGACCGAACATCTGTAACCTAAAACACCCTCAATGAAAGGGGCTCTCATTCCTCTACTCTACTTGTCAACTCAATCTGAAGTGACATTTTTTGGCGGGACCATGATCAGTGCAGAACTGAGTTCGATCCCTTCAGTCTTTCAGGTCGATGACTAAATGAGGTTTAAGTTAAAGTCTGACTCTGTAGAATATGGTTCGGATAGATAATATTTTCGAAGACAAAATAAACAAGGAGGGATCATTTATTTTCCAATAAAATTTGGCAACTCTGCAATTTGTTAGCATTTCATTTTATCACCATCTCACTACTTACAATGTATGCCTTAGAGTCAGAGTTGCTTAGAATACTCTTCGCCTCACCAACCGCAATTTGTTACGCTTTGTCCGTATGCATCGATGACGTGGTGACGATGCCAATCGATCTAACCAACAAGCAGCCAACCCTCTGTCGCCTCGAACTACAAGCTGCTCTAAAAGCGTTCATGCATTCAAACAGCGTTGCGTGTCGATCCAACAAGACGAACGGGCGGAGCGGACAGTTGAGGAATCTTTGGATAGAGCAAATGTACAATGTTGAGGCAGCAGAGCAGAGTACATATATATATAAACAAAGGTACATTAGAACAGTACATATTTACAATATATTATATACATAAATATCGATCTGATCGTGTGTGATCGTGCTGATACTTTAATATCGCTAGCTACAGATGTGCATTGATCGTTGTTATGCGTTGCTTTTGTTCTTATTGCTGCTGCTGTTGTTGTTGTGTGTCAGTTGGGCGCGTATTGGAGGCACAAAAGCGCCTCCAGGTGCGCTTCACGCTTAATTAGAATATGATGCCGCAATGGAAAGACACAAGCAAGCGTACACACGCAGACACATGG